AAAAAAAAAAAAAAAAAAAAAAAACCAATATGATGAGAGGACCGTCTGTGGGATAGTGGTTAAGGGTGGGGACTCTGCAGTCAGCCTACCTTGGCTCAGACCCCAGCCTGACCACTGACCACTGGAGGGATCTAGGGCATATGGCTCACCATTCTGAGCCTCGCCTTCCTCATCTGTGGAATGGGGCTGCGAAAAGCACCTGCTTCATAGGGATTCAAAGATGGTGAACAGGCTAATCCGTGCAGAGTACTTAAAACCAGCAGCCACCATCATCATCATCATCATCATCACAGCCACCACCATTATTGTCATCAGGTCAATCCTTGTTATTTGTGGATTCCATATTTGTGAATCCGCCGATTTGCTAACATTGATAACCCCCGAGTCAATACTCACGGCGCTTTCCTGGTCACGTGCAGACGTGTGCAGAGCCGTGAGTCTATTTGAGTCTCCCGATGCGCGTGCTCCCAGCTGAGGTCGAACGCGGCGACCCTCTGCCTCTCTGTTCAGCGCGAGAGCTATAAACAAGCATCCTCTTTAGTGCCCTGTTGTTTTGCACTTTTGTGCTTTTTGTTGGTGGTTTTGCTCTTAAAGATGGCGCCTCCCGTGTAGGGCTGAAGGGCCGCCCAGTGTTCGTAAGCACAGGAAGGCTGCGATGTGCTCTGGAGAAATCGCGCGTGTGAGATGGCCCGCCCTCAGGCATGAGTTATAGCGCTGTTGGCCTTGAGCTCAGTGTGAGCGAATCAAGGATTTATATTAAATAAGGTGTCTTTATTGTTTTTATTATTTCTAAAATAAATTTATTTATTATTTATGGCTGAGTTGGGTCTCCGTTGCTGTGCGTGGGATTTCTCTGTTTGCGGCGAGTAGGGGCTACTCTCATTGCGGTGTGCGGGCTTCTCACTGTGGTGGCTTCTCCTGTTGCGGAGCACGGGCTCTAGGCGCATGGGCTCAGTAGTTGTAGCACACGGGCTCTGTTGCTCCACGGCATATGGGATCTTCCCGGACCAGGGCTCGAACCCGTGTCCCCTGCATTGGCAGGTGGATTCTTAACCACTGCGCCACCAGGGAAGTCCCAAACAAGGTGTCTTTAAACAGAAACACACATAAACCAAGGGGATATATTGATGGGTTGATGAGAATGGGACCAGAGGCTGGCAGGAAGCTAACCCCGTCTTTCCCCAGGGGCGGCAACTCAGTGGCCATAATCCCAAATTCACAGTGACCTTATGGGACATAAGCACCTCAGATGACAAGACCTGACTGTAGTTTGCTAGATTGAAGTGCTGAAGGATTATACCATATAATGTTAAATACTATTGCATGATGTGTGTGTGTGTGTGTGTGTGTGTGTGTGTGTGTGTGTATACACACACACACACACACACAGTATATGTAGATATAGTGCGGTGTGTCTGCTTATATATATGTGATAATGTACAGCGTTGTTTCCTGTAGTTTTAAACTTGTATTTGACCTCTCGTCTCTCTGGCTACATCCTTCTCCTTTTCACTGACTGTCCCACTCACAGCCTCTCTCTCATTCTCTCTCCACAGCTGGCCCCCGAAAGGACGCTCCCCACGTCCCCAGCTGGGGCCCCTGCGTAGACCTGGAGTGGACACCCCCTCCTTCCCTTCATGATTCGTTTGTAGCGCAGGTAACCAGCCAAGCATCCCGCTCATTCCCGGAGGGGCCGTGGTCCCCCGTCCACCTCCCCGGAAGGGACGTTCCTTCTTGGAAGAGCCTGGCTCAGCCACATCCTTCAGCCCCTCCCTCTCCAGCCTGGGCCCCCTGGGTCATTCGGGCCATTCCCCCAACCTCCATGCCATCTGCAGCCAGGATCTCCCTCCCCGCTTTCCGTCTTCTCCAGATTCTCTGCAGATCCTGCCTTGTCATTCCCTAGCCAGGCCTTGCCCACTTTAGGCTGGTTGGGAAGGGCAGGGGCTCGTAGGCCACAGAGCTGGTGACCTGGGAAGACAGTGGGTGTGGGCGGAGATATGAAGCCGGAGAGAGTGTGTTATCTTGCTGCACCAACGCAGCAAGAGCCTTGGAAGGGCCTCTCTGGGGCAGTCCCCGGGGCCAGCTCTAGAGGCGAGGGTGATTGGTGTGTGAGGCTCCGGGGCCGTGTGTTTCTGTTCTAGACTGGGCTTGTTAACCCAGGGCCCACGAAGTGTGTACGTGTGTGCATATGTATGTGTGTGTCCCATGACACACTTCCCCCTGGGAAAGAACGTGTAACGTTGCTGGCCCACATGCATGTTTCTGGCAAGAGGGTCTTTTGCTTTCATCAGACTCTCCAAGGTACTGTTCAGAGAAGACCCTGAACTAACCATGTGGGGTCCCTCCCTGAGATTCTTTGTGTCACAGAGCCGTCGAGGGTAATAGGGGCTGTAGTGGCGATCAGGAAGTTCAGAGAATGCTATTGGGGGTTAGGGGTTGTGACCCAGCTGAGAGCACAAGTAAGATTTTGTGTGTGTTTGGCGGGGAAGAGGGGGGCGGTGCACGGCAGTCACCATGTCCTCACCGTCCCCCTCCCCCTACCAAGAAGAAAAAGAGAGGCTAAGAACTCCACAGCCCTGGACTGGGATTGTGTGTGATTTCTCGTGTTCTGTCTGCGCGGTTGGGAGGGAAGGATGTGTGGGCTGATGGAAGGATAGGCGGATGGGGACTTCCCTGGCGGTCCAGGGGTTAGGACTCAGTGCTTTCCCTGCCCGGGCCCGGGTTCAGTCCCCGATTGGAGAACTGAGAGGATGCAAGCCTCTCAGTGTGGCCCAAAAAAGTAAAAAGGAGGAGTGGGTGGAAGGACGGGTCCGTTTGTGTGTTTGGAAGACGAGGAAGATGGGTGGTTGGGTGGAAGTTTGGAAAGATGGGTGCGTGGAAGCTTGGTGGGATGTCCGGAGCAGTGGTGGTTGGCGCAGGGGTGGATGGGCAAACACAGAGAACTTGTTTTCTCACTTGTAAAATGGGGCACACGGCATCCCTTTCCCATGGGGGCTGAACAAGCTAACATTTGTGAAACGCTTGGGACAGTGCCTGGCATTTGGTAAGCAGGAGACAAATGTTAGCCGTCCTCATCATTCCGACAGGCTCAGCCCAGCTCCGGCGGTTCCTCTGCCTCAGAGCGCCCACCCTCCTGGTCCCTCTCCCTCTCTCTTCCCTTCCTTGAGAACCACGCTGCATGTGTCTTCCAGGGGGACCCAGAACCCGGGCCCCTTCATGCCGCCTCCCCTCCCTCCCTCCTTCACCCAGTCACGTGTAGGACAGGAGCACAGGCTTGGGGCCAGACTTCTGGGTTCAGGCCTGGCTCTGCCACCTGCTAGCTGGGAGGCAGAGAACCATGGTCTCAGCTCTTCCTTTTACTCATCTGCAGAGCGGGGGTGGCAGGACTCACCTCGAGGGATACTGTGGGGATTAAATGAGTTACATGTGTGTGAAGCACTTAGCACGGGGCCTGCATGTGATCAGGACTCAGTCTGGGTTGATGTCATCACCATCGTCATCAGATGCTGGGGAGAGAGAGGGAGGAGGAAGAGGCAGCTGTCTGTCTCTGATCAGGAGGTTCTGGTACAGAGGGCACCTGCCCCACCCCTACCCATGCCCCTAGACGTAAGGGGACAGAAACCCTGACCCCTCCAGGGGTCTTGGCCCCAGGGAATGGTCCTTGCAGGGAGGGTCCTGGCACGCTGCCGACATCTAACTTGTCTCCCTTGCCCTCTTCCCGCCCCGCCCCGTCCAGTGGCGATGGATGATGAGGATGGGAGATGCTTACTAGACGTGATTTGGTGAGTAATGGGCTCCCCACCCCACCCCGCCCTCCCCCACCCTCTCCCTCCCCTCCCCTGTCCCTCATCTCCTCAAATGTCTCTCCTCTCCTCTCTTTCAGTGACCCTCAGGCCCTCAATGACTTCCTACATGGATCTGAGAAGGTGAGTGCTGGGGCAGGGAGAAGCATCCCCAGGGCAGGGGCCTGTGGAATTGGGAGCTGAGAGACGCTCCCCCCGATTCAGTAGACATCTGCCCCTTGCCTTCCATGAGCCAGGCCCCAGGGTTATGGCAGAGAGTGAAAGAGCTGGCAAATCCCTGCCCTCACTCCATACACATCTCCTTGGTAAACAGAGCAACCAGAGAGCTAATAAAGGTGATGGTGGGAAGCACCATGCAGAGCAGCATAAGAAATAATAATGGCACTTGCACAACAAAAGAGGTTTAAAAGAAAATGAATGGGAGGCAGAAGCAGGGGCTTCTCTAGCTGGTGTGAACCTGAGGGATCAAAGGGAGGTGCCCATGGCACTCTGGGCAGGGGAAGGACAGGTAGGAAGCTTGGAAAGTTTGAGAAAGAAGGCCTGTGGGGCCGGAATGAAGGGGAAACTAGAAGGTGGTAAGACTGGAGTGGACAGAAGTCACCAGGTCATGAAGGGCTTGGAGGACCTTGATTGAGGAGTTCAGACTTTATTCTGAACGTGACAGGCAGTTCTGATGGGTTATTAAGCAGGAGAATGCCACATTCTGTTTGCACTCCAGAGAATGGAACAAAGTGGGGGAGAGTGGATGTCTGTTGAGCCATGAGGAGCTGTATCAGTCACCTACAGCTGCATAACAAGTTATCCCATCCCTTAGTGACTTAAAACAACATTTGTTAGAGCTCTCAGTTTCTGAGGGTCAGGAACTGGGGAGTGGCTTAGCTGGGTGTCTAGCTCAGTGTCTACCCTGAGTAGCAGTCAGGATGTTGCCTGGAGCCGCTGTCATCTGAGGGCTTGTCTGGGGCTGGAGGATGTGCTTCCACAATGACTCACTGCCGTGGCTGTTGGCTGGAGACCTCAGCTCCTCACCATGTGGGCGTCCCCATAGGATTGCTTGAGTGTCCTCACAGCATGGCAGCTGGTTCCCCCAGAGCAAGTGACCCAAGGGAGAGAGCCAGGAGGAAGCTCAGTGCCTTTTATGACCTAGTCTCCAAAGTCACACGCTGTCACTTCCGTCATACTGCATTTACTAGAAGCGAGTCACTAAGCCCGCCCACACTCACAGGGAGGGAACGGAGCTCTGCTCCTTGAGAGGGGATGTATCACATAATTTGTGGAGCGGAGGCGAGTGTGGAGTGGAGGTTGGTGGCCTGGGCCCCAGGGCAGGCACAGGAGCAGGTGCCAGGCGCTGGCTCTGGGATCTGTCTGGGAGGCAGAATCACTAGACTTGCTGGTGGATTAGATGGTGAGGAAGAAAGAGCATCCAGAATGCCTCTTGGACTTGACCTGAGCAGCTGAGTGGGTGGTGGTACCGTTCTCTGAGACTGGGGGTTCGAGGTGGATTGTAGAAGTCCAAGGGCGGCTATTGGATATACCAGGCTGGGGTTCTGGAAGAAGATCAGCTGGACAGAGACACTGGGGAGGCTTGGCTGTGGACAGACATTCATTGGGCGCTTGGGGCCTGTTCTAGGCATTGCCCATGTCTGCGGGAACGAGACAGGTCCCTGTGCTCCTAGACACGGGAACAGCACGCACATTAGGTGCCCGGGTGGCAGGGCGTGCCGGGTGCTTGGGCTGGGCGGTGGAAGGAGCGACTTAGTAGGAAGGGACTGACAGTTGTCGGGAGGACGTGACAAAGGTGACAGGCCCTGCCAGATGTGTTACCAAACACGCTTGAGCAAAGCCACGGAGGCAGGATTCTAGAGTTCAAGGCAGGCGTGTCGGGAGAGGCTCGGACTCAGTGCTGGGGTTGCCTCGCATTTTAATCTTGCAGCCAAGCCCCGTTCTTTGGGGCATCTTTTCTGGAGGCGGAGTTTCCTGTACCCCTCGAATCTCCCCCTCAGCCCCCCCCACCTCGTCTTTGTCTTTTTGTCCCATGTAACCCTAAATTGGTTTTTGTTCTAGAGGTGGGCCGGCCCACTGCCCAGCTGACCTTTGACCTTGGGTGGGGGCGGGTCTTGTTGCAGCTTGACAGTGATGACCTCCTGGATAATCCCGGGGAGGCCCAAAGTGCCTTCTATGAAGGTCCTGGGGTAAGTGGCCCGGGGGGCTCGGGGCCTGTGGTGGCAGCCAGTGGGGGAGGGGAGAAAGGGTCACACTGTCCCCTTAGGCACTTTGCCGGGAGGGGGTCAGGGGGCAGTCACTGAGAAGCAGTGTGGGGTGGAGGTGAGGCCGGAGTTGCTGGACCCCCAGCTGTACCCTCAGGCCCCTCAGAGAAGGAGGTGTGGTCCTCAGTCCCTGGCCTTGGAGGGCAGCTGCTACAGAGGTGGTACAGAGGCAGAGGCTGGCTGTGGAGTTCACAGTGGGCAGGGCGGGGGTGGGGGGTGGGGGTCCTGTCCCGGCCCAGCCACGGGTGGAGTATGTGACCTGGGGGAAGGGGATCGACTGTTGTGGATCTCAGTCTCCACCTGGAAGAGGAAGGCTGGGGTGATGAGCAAAGCCCCGAGCGGGGAACACAGTGGACTTCTATCGAGCACCTACTGTGCGACGGGCCATTACTCAGTGCCAGCCGTCCCTCCCTCTTCTTCCTCTCCTGTGGCCTCTCCCCTCCCCACTTCGCTCCCCATCCCTCCCCCTCCTTTTTCCTCCTCCCCCCCCTTCTCTCTCCCTCCCGCTCCTCCCTCCTCCCTCTTCATCAACATAACTATCAGTTACCGAATACCTATCATATACCAGGCCCTTTACAGTAATTTTCATTTAATCCTCGCAACAACCACAGTAACACTCCAAATACTTTATCTGGCGTAATATAAATGACTAAATCCAGAACCCAACAAACAAACCTTATGTTCGTGTTATTACATTTACATGTTATTTACATTACATTACAATAACAATACGCATTATTCTTACCCATGCCGTCCTCTTTTAATACCCATAACGTCCCTGGTCAGGTTCTCAGTACCTCCTGTATGTGACGTCAGTGAATGTCACGACTGTCCTAGGAGGCGGGTTTGGTTATGGCCATTTAGCCGTTAGGAACTCAGAACTGCCTGGTCCTTGGTTGGGGGCTGAGCCGGAGCCCCATCCTGCCAGGCACTGCCCTCCACTCCGCAGCAGGGTGACCCCTTTCCCCGGTCTGGGAGGCAAGGAGGGAGCAGTGCCCACCTCACTGGGCTGTTATTAACAACAACATGGACAGTAATAATGACAGTAACAACGCTAGATGTTTCCCGCGTGCCAGCCAAGAGCCAGGTACTGCTCTGAGCCCTCCACTTGGATTAACTCAGAATCTTTCAAACTACAGGTGTTGTTGTTCTTTTTTTTTTTTTTTTTTTTTTTATTTATTTTTGGCTGCGTTGGGTCTTCATTGCTGTGCGTGGGCTTTCTCTAGTTGCGGCGAGCGGGGGCTAATCTTTGTTGCGGTGTGCAGGCTTCTCATTGCAGTGGCTTCTCTTGTTGCAGAGCATGGGCTCTAGGCATGCGGTCTTCAGTAGTTGTGGCTTGCGGGGTCTAGAGCGCAGGCTCACTAGTGGCGCACGGGCTTAGTTGCTCCACGGCATGTGGGATCTTCCCGGACCAGGGCTCGAACCCGTGTCCCCTGCATTGGCAGGCAGATTCTTAACCACTGCGCCACCAGGGAAGCCCCCGAACTACAGGTTTTGATCCATTACCTGGTCAAGTATCAGTGGGTTTTCCATGCCATTGGCATGATTATTACTTGTAGAATATTTGCTCAAAAATGCGTGCATGTATCGATTACACACTCGTGTCCTGGATTGCCATCCCGGAAAGCATTTAAGAAACATCAGGTTCGGGACCTCCTTGGTGGCGCAGTGGTTGGGAGTCTGCCTGCCGATGCAGGGGACACGGGTTCGGGCCCTGGTCTGGGAAGATCCCACGTGCCGCGGAGCGGCTGGGCCCGTGTGCCACAACTGCTGAGCCTGTGTGCCACAGCTGCTGGAGCCCGCCCATCTAGAGCCTGCGCTCCGCAACAGGAGAAGCCACTGCGATGAGAAGCCCGCGCACTGCAACGAAAACCCAACGCAGCAAGCAAGCAAGCAAGCAATCAGTCAGTCAGTCAGGCTCATGTCGCGCTGGGCACCAAGTGAGACTCCCGTCCGGTAGCTGCTCAATCAGTCAGGCTCACATCGCGCTGGGCACCAAGTGAGGCTCCCGTCCGGTAGCTGCTGCCGCTGCTGCCTTTAACAGAACCGCACGATCTTTTATCTGAAACCTTTGGGGCCAGGCTTGTTTCGGAATTCAGGGTTTTTCAGATACTGGAAAGGTGATGCAGAATATGTGTGTGCGGCATGTAACATAACACACTCGCTTTTCTGTGGTCGGACTTAAGGCGAGTCACATTACGTGGATGAATTATGCCTTTCCCTCAGAGCATCACCTGAGTTCCGTTCAGGATTTACAGCCTACAGTTAGCAAAACGTTTGTGGTTTCCAGAGCCTTTCGGGTTTGGGAATTGCAGATAAGTATTACGGGCCTGTACGGCTGTTTAGAAAATGGTTTTTATTACATTCTGCTGACGTGCGCAGATGGGGAAACAGGCTGGATTAAGCAAGCCCCAGGTTGCCCAGCCCAGCCCTGGCAAAGCTGGCATTTGAACCCGGGTCCAGCCACTTCTAGGTGGAAGGTTCTTCCTATCCCTGCCGCCCTGACTCCGAGTGCCCTTTGCTTCCGCGGTGCCGAGCCCGGCCCCTTGCTAACCTCGGCTCTCTCCTTCACACCTTACCTGCCTCCAGCTCCACGTGCAAGAAGCTTCTGGCAACCACTTGAACCCAGAGCCCAGCCAGCCGGCCCCCAGCGTGGACCTCGACTTCCTGGAAGATGATATCCTGGGCTCACCGGCGGCGGGGGGCGGGGGCGGCGGGGGCGCCGACCAGCCCTGTGACATCCTCCAGCAGAGCCTCCAGGAGGCCAACATCACCGAGCAGACACTCGAAGCCGAGGCCGAGCTGGACCTGGGCCCCTTCCAGCTGCCCACGCTGCAGCCTGCGGATGGCGGGGCTGGCCCAGCGGGGACCGGAGGGGCTGCCGCCGTGGCCACGGGGCCCCAGGCCCTCTTCCCGGGTGGGGCTGACCTGCTGGGGCTGCAGGCCCCGCCCACCGTGCTGACCCACCAGGCCCTGGTGCCGCCCCAGGACGTGGTCAGCAAAGCCCTCAGTGTCCAGCCCTTCCTGCAGCCCGTGGGCCTGGGCAACGTGACCCTGCAGCCCATCCCAGGCCTTCAGGGCCTGCCCAACGGCAGCCCCGGGGGCGCCGCGGCGGCTACTCTCGGCCTGGCTCCCATCCAGGTGGTGGGCCAGCCCGTCATGGCACTCAACCCGCCCACCTCCCAGCTCCTGGCCAAGCAGGTGCCCGTCAGCGGTTATCTGGCCTCGGCAGCTGGCCCTTCAGAGCCAGTGACCCTGGCATCGGCCGGCGTCTCGCCGCAGGGGGCTGGCCTGGTCATCCAGAAGAACCTCCCTGCCGCCGTGGCCACCACGCTCAATGGGAACTCGGTGTTCGGAGGGGCGGGAGCCGCCACGGCCGCGGCCAGCGGGGCGCCCTCGGGACAGCCGCTGGCGGTGGCCCCGGGCCTCGGCACGTCGCCACTGGTTCCGGCGCCCAACGTGATCCTGCACCGCACGCCCACGCCCATCCAGCCCAAGCCTGCCGGCGTGCTGCCCCCCAAGCTCTACCAGCTGACACCCAAGCCGTTCGCCCCCGCGGGCGCCACGCTCACCATCCAGGGCGAGGCAGGGGGCCTCCCACAGCAGCCCAAGGCCCCCCAGAACCTGACTTTCATGGCGGCGGGCAAGGCCGGCCAGAACGTGGTGCTGTCGGGCTTCCCGGCGCCCGCCCTGCAGGCGAACGTCTTCAAGCAGCCTCCCGCCACCACCACGGGCGGGGCCCCGCCGCAACCCCCCGGGGCCCTGAGCAAGCCCATGAGCGTGCACCTCCTGAATCAAGGCAGCAGCATCGTCATCCCCGCCCAGCACATGCTGCCGGGCCAGAACCAGTTCTTGCTGCCCGGCACGTCGGCAGTCCAGCTCCCCCAGCCGCTCTCGGCCCTGCCGGCCAACGTGGGCGGGCAGATCCTGGCGGCCGCAGCCCCCCACGCGGGCGGACAGCTCATCGCCAACCCCATCCTCACCAACCAGAACCTGGCGGGCCCGCTGAGCCTGGGCCCTGTGCTGGCCCCCCACTCCGGGGCCCACAGCGCAGCCCACATCCTCTCGGCGGCCCCCATCCAGGTGGGCCAGCCAGCGCTCTTCCAGATGCCCGTGTCGCTGGCCGCGGGCAGCCTGCCCACACAGAGCCAGCCGGCACCCACCGGCCCCGGCGCCACTACCGTCCTCCAGGGGGTCACTCTGCCCCCCAGCGCCGTGGCTATGCTCAACGCCCCCGACGGTCTGGTGCAGCCCGCCACCCCTGCCGCCGCCGCCGCTGGGGAGGCCGCGCCTGTCCTCGCAGTGCAGACGGCGCCCCAGGCGTCCCCCGCGGTCAGCACGCCGCTGCCTCTGGGCCTCCAGCAGCCGCAGGCACAGCAACAGCAGCAGCCCGCACAGGGCCCTGCCCCGCAGGCCGCCCCGGCTCAGGCCTCCACCCCCCAGCCCAGCCCAGGCCTGGCGTCCAGCCCGGAGAAGATGGTCCTGGGGCAGCCGCCCTCTGCCGCCGCCACGGCCATCCTCACTCAGGACTCCCTGCAGATGTTCCTGCCCCAGGTAACCAGGGCTGCCGGGCAGGGGCGGGGGGTCTGTGTGGAGAGGGGCCAAGAGCTGGAACCGGGTGTGGTTGAAGCAGCGGGTGGGAGGGTCCTGTGGGTTAGGGAGAGCGTCTCAGACATGGCCCCCCTGCTCCAGGTCCCCGAGGAGGAGGCCTGAGGGTGACAGGGCCAACTGACTGACACAGAGACAGACAGACAAGGAGAGTGACTGGCTGACAGACTGCCCACTTGCTGGAGGGTTGGGAGAGGGGTCACACAGAGACAGTGGCTGAGACATGGACGGACAGATGGGGCAGGAGAGATGCACATTGGGGTGGAGCTGGAAGACGACTCACGGGACTGAGGGTTCGGAGCTGCCCCGGGTTGTGGCCTCCTGGACCCTGGGGCTCCCTCCCAGCCCCCGGCCTTGGTGCCCCCCAGCCGGTTCCCACCACCCGCTTCCCTGGTGCATCAGTGGGGGCGGGGTGTCAGGGTGGGGAGGCCGCGGGTCCGTGGGGATGGCCTCTGACCCTGTGCGGGCTGCCTGTTTCAGGAGAGGAGCCAGCAGCCCCTCTCCACAGAGGGCCCCCACCTCTCCGTGCCCGCCTCGGTCATAGTCAGCGCCCCGCCTCCCGCCCAAGACCCAGCCCTGACCACCCCCGTCACCAAAGGAGCTGGCCTTGGCCCTCAGGCCCCCGACAGCCAGGCCTCCCCGGCGCCGGCCCCCCAGGTAGACGAACCCCAGCAGCCTCTGTCCCAGCGCAGACCAGCCCTGCCCCTCGCCCCCCTTCCCCGTTCCCTCCGCTCGCTCCCTGGCTGCCCTGCCTGCCTCTCTGTCTCGCTGGCTTGGGAAACGGTGCTCTCCTTGGCTCCCCAGATGTTTCCTGAGGGTCTCCGGACAGTCATGGATGCTTGAGACCACACTCTAGTCAGGGACACGAGATCCACACAGCAGGAAATGGATTAGGTCCTCGAATGATCATTTTCCCATCTGGGTAACTAATCTTCAGGTAGCTCACATTTTAAGGAAGATACCAAGAGGTCTAGGTCAAAGCCCCCTCTCCTGCTTTCCCTCCCAAGGCAGTTTCTGGCACTCCTTTCCCACGCATAGACGAGCAAAATGACAACTGGATTCCTTCCCTTCCATTTTTACCAAAGTGATAGTGTACTCTGCATGCATTCTGCACCTTTTATTATTTAACAGTTCATCTTGGAGACTGTACTTCATTCTTGCATAGTATTCCATTGTGTGGAGGTACTATTATTTATTTAATCAGTTGTTGTTGGGAATTCAGATCACTTTTGGTCTTTAGCTGTGGCTGAGCAAGCTTGCAAAGAAGAACTCTACATGTGTCTCTTTGTAGGATAAGTTCTTTAAAAGGAAATTGCTAGGTCTAAGAGCAAATGTATTTGTAGTTTTGACAGATATTGCCAAATTGCTCTGGAGTGTAAATTGGTTTAACAGATTATCAGCAATATATGATCTGTGCCTTTTTGCCCCCACCCTCAGCAATATTGAACTTGGCCGATCAGATAGGTGAAAATAGTCTCTTGTTTTGTTTTAATATGCATTTTGTTTTACGGTAAATGAGGCGGGGCAGGTTTTTATAGATTTAGAGTTATTTGTGTTTTCCTTTCTACGGAATTGTCTGTTCATATCCTTGGCCATTTTCAAATTTGGGGTTAATGGTCATTTTCTTGTTGATTTTTAGAAACTCTTTACATATTAGAGAAATTAGCCATTGTCTCATATAAGTCATTAGCACATCAGCATTTGAGAGGATGGATGTTGTACTCCTTTGAAAAGGACCAGTGGGTGGGTGGATTAGGGTAGGCAGGAAGAGGAGGGAATAACATAAGCGAGGTCCAGGAAGGCAGAAATCAGCTGGGCCTTGGCCTTAAACAGCCATGATTTCATTCTCAGGCTCTGCTACTCACCATGTGACTTGAAGCAACTAGTTTCTTCATTCCATCAACAGTTGTTTAGGGAAAGGGGTGCACTACGTATGTGTCAGGCCTTGTGCTAACCCTGGGCGAGTCCCTGTAACTGCCGAGCCTTGATTTCCTCATCTGGAAAATGGGAATAATAGTTTCTTTATAGGTCTGTTAGGAGAAATAAACCAGTTAATATGTGCTTTGCACAGGGTAAGCACTCCATAAGTATTTGCTATTATTATTATCTTAGCTATTGTGTTTATGGGTCAGTCCAGAGGGACATGGGGCCAGGATGTCCTCAGGTCATCTCTACCCAGAGAGGAAGACCAGGCAGGAGTAGGGGAGGGGCGAGGGGCCGCCTGGCCCATGAGAGACTCAGGTTGGAAGCACTGTCTCTAGAGTGGTCGGACCAGGCCTGGGTCCCTGGGGCCAAGGGCAGTCCCCTCTCCGAGCCTCACGAGCTCCCGTCCTCAGCTGGAACGTGGGGCTGGTAGGAGCCCTTTTTCTGAGTGCTGTGGTTGAGAGCCAGGCCAGGGCACACGTGTACTCTGCCACTTTAATGTTGCACACCCTGCAGGTACTTGTCTAGACTCGCTCCTTGGGTGACCAACCAGCCCAGTTTACCCAGTACCGAGGAGGATCTCGGGAGACGGGACTTTCAGTTTTAAAACTGAGACGGTCCCAGACAGACCAGGACAAGTTGGTCACCTTCCTGACTCCTCCCGGCCCTCCCTTGCCACCTTCCCTGCTTTGCATTTCTCCATAGCACTGACCACCCTCTGACCAGGCCGCCTGTTTTCCCTGTTAACTGTCTTCACTGTAACAGGAATGCCTCTCTGTAACGTATACGCTTCACTATAGCGTAAAGTCCACGAGGCAGAGAGTTGTGTGCGTTCAGGCCCTGCTGTCTCCCCAGCGCCCAGAACAGTGCCTGGCCTGCAGCAGATGCTTGGTGAGCATTTGTAAAATACATGAGTGGAGGAAGGAACCCAGCCACACATACGAGCACCCGCCCGGCGCTGAGCAGCCCACCGCGAGAGCAAAGGGAGAGCCATTACCGATGGGCACTAAGTGTGCCTTGAAAACCACCGTCCCGGAGAATTGTTGTTAGGGGAAGTTAGGAACAGGGACTCTGCTCCCGACCCTGCCACTTACAGGCTCTGTGACCTCCACCAAGTCCCTTACCGCTCTGTGCCTCAGTTTCCTGACCTGTCAAACGAGGAGGATGATAGTGGCATCTACTTCATAGGTTGTTGTGAGGGATAATAAGTTAATGTACGTAAAGTGCTTGAACAGGGCCGGGCATGTTGAAAGTCCTGAAGGCGTGAAAGAAGCCGGGTGAATTTTCCACGAAGGGCCAACAGGAAACATTTTAGGCTTTGCAGGTCTCTGTCATTATAGCCTAGCAGCAGTTCTAGATCTAGATTCTAGATAAATGAATGAGCATGGGCGTGTTCCAATAAAACCTTATGTATGGACACTGAAATTTGAATCCCCTGTCAGTGTCCCAAGTCAGAAAATATTCTTCTTCTTTTGACTTCTTTTCAACCATTTAAAAATGTACAAAAACTATTCTTAGCTTGCGGGCCATACAAAATGGTCAGCTAAGCGGGTGGCAGGCCAGATTTGGCCTCTGGGCCATAGTTTGCCAACCCTTTTGATGTCTTTATTTCATTACGTAGACACTCAAGGCTTCATTTATTCAGTCCCCTATTCATGAATACTTAAGGTGGTTTCCCGTGGAATTGGTAACAGACCACACTCCCCTACGTATTCTTGTATCAGGCTTTGCACATGCATGAGAATACCCGTAGGGGTAAATTTCTAGAAATAGAATGGCTGGACCAGAGGGTATACAGTTGGCCCTCCGTATCCACAGGTTCTGCGTCCCCAGATTCAGCCAACTGCGGATCTGAAATACTCGGGGAAAAATATTCCGGAAAAAGCAACATTGGCTTTGCTGCGCTCAGACAGCTATTTACATAGCATTTACATTATATTCGATATTATAAGCGATCTAGAGATGATTTAAAATATACGAGACGATGTGCATAGGTTATATGCAAACACGGTGCCACTTATATAAGGGACGTGAGCATCCTTGGATTTGGGTATCCGAGGGAGTCCTGGAATCAATCCCCGTGGATACAGAGGGTTGACTGTAAGTGCTTCCCAAGCATGTTATGGACCAAACCGGTTGCTCCTCTGTGAGGTCTGTGCCAGTGAAGGCCTTCTCCCACGGCTTCCTCAACCCCAGATCAGCAGCCGACTCACTGCTGGCCAGGCGGAAAAATGCACTCCTCCTCCTTCGCTTCTCTCTCATTCTCTGCGTCAGTCGAGCATCTTCCCATCTCCTCACGGGCAGTTGGAATCTCTCAGTAAACAGTCCACTCATGTGGGAGCTTAAAAAAAAAGTGATTATAAAAATAATTTCCTGCTTCTTTAGAGCATTTAGAAAATACAGAAAAGAACCAAGAAGAAAAACAAATCACCCACAATACCAGCATGCAGAAGCCACTGGTAACATTCTTGGTATGACGTTTCCTTTCGGCCTTGCTTTTTTTTCTTCCCATCCATTTAAAACGTTTGTCCTTTTGACATTAGGTATTATAGTCCCATGGTTCGATCATGAAAAAGCATTTTTAAAGTACGGGGAAAAGCATCCCACCCCATGCCTGCATTCCCAGCCCCCAGCCCTTCCCCGTAGCCTCAGCACTTACTTTTTGTATCTCCTTCCAGCTCTGTGTATATACAGCCTCGTGCAAATACGGGTTTACATTTCTCTCTCTCCAGCAGGTAGCACGTTATCCTCTTACTTGGGCAGCACATGGGGAGTTTCCTTGGTCCTTTGTTACAGCGGAGAAGTATTCCTCTGTACAGATAGGGATGGGTGAGCATTCATCCCCGGAAGTGCTGTCCTGATGCACGATAGACCACGTCCAGGCTTTGGTCCTCCACACAGAGCTGCAGTAAACAACTCATCCACCTGTCATTTCCCACATGTGCAGGCGTATCTCTCCGGTCACTTCCTGGAAGCCTGTTTGCCGGTTCAAAGCACAGGTGCACTTAGAATTTGCACAGCTGCTGCTGAATTGCATTCCTCTGAGGCTGTAGCAAATGGTGCCAGTGTAGACCCCCAAAGGCAATGCACGAGTGTCTTTATGAGACATACGGCTTATTCCTAATGCGATGCCTGAACATGGTTCCATAGGGTGTTTTGATTTGCGTCTCTCTTATTACAAGTGAGGTTGAACATCTCTTGATACAGTTCAGCCTTTTGTGTTTCTTTTTCTGCACACTGTCTGATCATCTTTTTTCTCACTGCTTGTTATTATTTGTGATTTCTAGAGGCTCTTTGTATATGAGAGAGAGGAGCTTTGTCTAGGCTATGAGTTGCAACTCTTTCCCCCAGTATGTCGTTTGGTTTTTGACTTGGTTTGGGGGGAGTGTGTATTTATCTCTGTATTTTTAATGAGGATGAGATTCTTTTTTTAATTTTTAAACTTTTTTGGTTACTTTTTAACTTTTCTCTTCTTTCTTTCTTTTTTTTCTTTTTTTTTCTTTTTTTGGCTACACCATGTGGGATCTTAGTTTGCTGACCAGGGATTGAACCCGTGCCCTTGGCAGTGAAAGCACGGAGTCGTAACCACTGGCCTCCAGGGAATTCACTAAACTTTTCATTTTAAAATCATTTCAAACATACAGCAAATTTATAAGACTAGTACATGGGAATAATACTCATGAGAGTTCTTTACTCTCTGACCAGATGTATTGGTTGTCTATTGCTGTGTGACAAATTACCACCACCACCACCACCCCCAAATGTAGCAGCTTGAAACAACAGACGTTAACTTATCTCACATGGTTTCTAAGGATCAGGAATCGGAAGCAGATTAACTGGAAGGTTCTGGCTCGTGATCTCTTAGGAGATTATAGTCAAGGTATCAACCAGGACTGCGGTGATATGAAGGCTTGACCCGGCTGGAGAATCTGCTTCCAAGATGGTGCACTCGTGCAACTGCTGGCAGGAGGGAGGGCCTGTGTAGAGACGAACTGAGGCTGAGGCCTCCCCGAAGGGCAGCTCACAACATGCTCTACAGCTGGCTTCCCCCAAGTGCCTGATCCAGCAGAGAGAGCGCAAGAGAGCACCCAGGATGGCAGCCACAGTCTTTTATAGTATAACCTAATCTTGGAAGTGACGTGTGGTCGCTTCTCCTGAGTTCTCTTGGCCGCTTTTGACCAGAGACCAACCCTGATACAATGTGGGAGACTGGATCCGAGGAGGCGGGGATCGCTGGGGGCCGCCTCAGAAGCCGGCTGCCCCGCCACGTTTACCCACTGTAAATATCTATCTGGCTGCGATCGCGCTCTAGCTGTAGCCCTCTCAGCATGTCTACTTTTTTTTTTTTCCCTGACTCATTTGAGAGTAAATTGCAGACATCATGCTTCTTTACCCCTTAATATTTTAGCATAGTATTTCAGCCCTGGAGAATAAGAGCATTCTCTTACTCGATCACAGCAGAGTTAACAGATTCCGCAAATCTAGCCGTGAGACAATACACTTGGCAAATCCACTGTCCATAATGCAGTCTAGCCAGTGGTCCAGTGACCGCGTCATGGACCGTTCTCCTTATCTCCCTTAGCATCTGGCACGGCTGTGTTGCCACTTCACCAAACCCTCGGAAGCCTGTGCTTGGGGGGGTGGGGGGAAGTGTCGAGTGGGCCGGCTCCCTTCGCCCTTACTCACTTCAGCTACTCACCTGTTGCCGCCATTGGGTTTCTTCTCCTGTTTTCTCTAGTGTAAATAGTCCCACAGTGGCCAGCCCTGTGAACGTGCGCCTGAATGCCCCTTATCCCAGATTCCTGGAGGGGGGATTACCAGGTCAACTCGAGGGTCTTTCAAAAGCACCAGATCAAACCGCCTTCCAGAGGGTTGTCCAGGTGACAATCTCACCAGCCCCTTGAGAGCCAAGGTCCAAGCTTCTGATACCTCCTTAGAGGTGGCAAGCCTTTGGGGACGTAGAGAGCGGTTGATAGGTTAGTTGGTTTTTTAACTTTGAATTTGAAGTTATGCAGGGCCAAGCCTGGAGGCTTAAAAAGCAAGCCATAACTCTGGAATTGTCAGTTGGCCCACTTTGGGGGCTTGAAGCAAAGAGCCCGAGCTCTGGAGCGTGGCAGCCGTGGGTGGCCTTGGGCAAGTCCCCCGAGCCCTCTGAGCATGCGTCCTCCTTGCTCAGCTTGGAAGTCACTCACTGGGTGGTGTAGACAAGCCGGGGAGATGATGAGCACCTGTCCAAGACTCGACCAGTACTTTTGGCTCCCTGGCCTCAATTTCTCATCTGTGAAATGGGTCCAATATCATCACAGCTCTCGGGACCGTGGAGAGACCACACGAGTGGGTACAGGTTCCCAGCCGTACGCGCTGGATCAGTGTGCACCGTCACTGGGGCACAGTGAGCAGAAAGGCGCCGCCAGCACAGTGTCAGGTACCCGGTGGTGCTCGCTGGTTCAACAGTAGCTGCTGAGGTTACGGTTCTTGGGGAGGTGGCCTCTGAGGGAAGAGAGTGCAGAGGGCTGAGGCGCTCTGGCCGAGGTGTGTTGTAGGCGAGGTCACTGTACGTGTTACAGAACGAGTGCCTGGATTGCGTGCGCAAGTCTGACACATGAGTGTGCACACGCACGCACACACACATGCACGCCCGTACCTGCAGGCTCACGTGGCTCCCAGGTAGGCGTGCAGCCACGGCCACACAGGCACACGGAGGCAGCGGCCACGGACACTTAGAAGGGGACCTGTAACTCATGGGCTGGTGTCCAGAGGGGCCTGACCCTGACCCTCAGTTTCAGTCCTTACCCCTGCCTCCCTGGATCCCCTAGTCCCCAGCCGTGCGCTCCTCGGCCATCAGCCCCCCGCCCCAGTATGCAGCCACAGTGTCTGTGCTGCTATCTGTTTTCCTGGGTTAGCTGGACGGTCGGGCCAGGGCCGGCGGCTGGAACGCTGCCCCCGCCTGGCCACCTCCCTCCCCCCCTTGCTGCTGTGCTCGTGCTCCCCGGCCCCCCCCACCTATCCGCTGGGCAGCTGGCGTAGTGCCCCCGCCGCCGCCACTGCTTCCTATGCTGCTACCCCCAAAGCCTGCAGAGCTCGCCTTCATCTGGGGGGACTGGGGGGGCACATGGGGAGGGGTGTGAGATCGGAGGGCAGAGGTGTCGGGGGATGGGGGGATGGATGGAAGGCGGAGGTGGGGACAGACAGTGTGGGGGAAGGTGGGGGGCGGATTGAGGGAATGAGGTAGGTGGACGTGTGCAGGGGCGTGAGGGGGGCGGGTGGAGCGGTGACGTGGGGAGTTCAGAAGTGAGAGGCGGGAAGGGTGGTGGGGTCCTTTCAGGACAAGGGGTGGCTAAGAAGCGGGGGTTTCTGGTGGGAGCGGCCGGGGTCCCCAGTGTCTTGGGGCAACGGGAGCCAAGGCTGGTTCTGACCCCGCCCCCTCCGCTCTCCCTCCCTCCCCTGCCCAGATCCCAGCGGCGGCTCCGCTGAAGGGCCCAGGCCCCTCGTCATCCCCATCACTACCTCACCAGGCCCCGCTGGGAGACAGCCCTCACCTGCCCTCCCCGCACCCTCCGCGGCCCCCTTCCCGCCCGCCCTCCCGACCCCACTCCCGCCCACCTTCGCAGCCCCAGAGCTTGTCCCGGCCACCCTCAGAGCCCGCCCTGCACCCTTGCCCTCCGCCCCAGGCCCCCCCCACTCTGCCTAGCATCTTTGTCATCCAGAACCAGCTGGGCGTCCCCCCACCTGCGAGCACGCCGGCCCCCAGTGCCCCAGGCCCACCGCAGCCCCCTCTGCGACCCCCCTCCCAGCCCTTGGAGGGGCCACTGGCCCCAGCCTCCACCTCCTCTGTCGTGGCCTCCTCCTCCGAGACGTCCTCCAGGCTGCCAGCCCCCACGCCGCCCGACTTCCAGCTCCAGTTCCCCCCTGGCCAGGGGCCCCACAAGTCCCCCACGCCCCCTCCGACCCTCCACCTGGTCCCCGAGCCCGCCGCGCCCCCCGCCCCGCCTCCTCGGACCTTCCAGATGGTGGCCACCCCCTTCCCGGCGCTGCCCCAGCCGAAGGCTCTTCTCGAGAGATTTCACCAGGTAATCGGAGGCAGGGACCGGCCCCGCCCGCCCCGCCCCCCCTTAAGTCCCATTGGAGCCCCTGGCACTCCATGGCTTTGTCTTCGCCCCCAGCCCTGGTTCCTGGCCGCCCCCACTCCTAGCGTGTGCCCCCCAGCCACCTGTCACCCTCCTCAGGTGCCGTCCGGAATCATCCTCCAGAGCAAGGCTGTGGGCGCCCCCGCCGCCCCGCAGACCTCCGCCAGCCTGGGGCCCCTCGGCAGCCCCACCGCCTCCGGGCTGGTCAGTGGGCAGGCCCCATCTGGGACCTCCACCGCCCCCAGCCATGCCCCGGCCCCGGCGCCCGTGGCCACTGCAGGTAGGGGAGAGGTGGCCCACGCACGAGGGCTGGGGGGCCCGAAGGTGGGTGGATGGGGGGCTGGGGGCCGGGGAGGACGGGCTAGGGCAGAGCCTGGGGGCATGAGCCCAAGGGGTCGCCCAGACCTCCCAGGACAGGGAAGGTGGAGGAGGAAGGGCCGTCTCTCCAGATGTCCCTCCGGGGGCGCTCCCTCCAGGGCTGACACAGCCACTGAGGCCAAAGAAGCAGAGAAGTGAGGGGTGCAGGGTCGCGTCTTTGGAGGCACCTTCGCACCAGTGACCCCTGAGTCCTGTCTGCCCCACCTCGTCCCCAGGCCTCCCTCCTCTGCTTCCCGCCGAGAGCAAAGCCTTTGCCAGCAACCTCCCCACCCTGACTGTGGCCAAGGCCGCTGCATCTGGGCCAGGGAAGTCCTCCGGGCTGCAGGTAAGGGGCCGCCAGAGTGGAGGGCTAGGGCCTGAGCGACATCGCCGGGAAACCGGGACGGGGACCGGAGGGGGGCAGGGGTGCTGACCGGCAGACAGAGACGAGCAGATGAGACACAGCCTGGCGATGGGTGGGACACCAGGACGGTCTGGGCGGGGCGGGGGGGCCACACGGGAGACCGAGATAGTTGGACAGAGACCCCTCCCGGACACCAAAATGACAGGGTGATGATAGGAGAGATGGCCTGAGTGAGAACCCCGACGGTCACTGGGGACTGGAGCAGGTGAGAGATTGACTGTAGGAGGAGGGGCTGCATGGGCTCGGGACAGGTGGGGTGAGACCCTAGATGGAGGGGCAGGGCGGGGTGGGCAGTGAGACACTGAGTCAGACAGAGACGGCAGAGATGGAGGGGGGAGGTTGCGGGGAGAACTAGGATAGTGGTACCCAGGCTGGAGGGACAAGACAGGGAGTGTGCGGGGTCTGGGGGAGACCGAGGCGGAGACCAAGATTCGAAAGAGCTTGAGAGGGAAGACCGGGCATGAGCAAGGGAAGTCAAGAGAGAGATTTAGGCAAAATGAGAAGAGTCTGCAAATCAGATGCCGGACAAGGACGAGGGATTCAAGGGCCATTTGGTGGGCAGGGAGGGAGACACCAGGCGGAGGCCGAGAGACCCAGGCCGGATAAGGGGCTGGAGGGGACCCAGGTGGAGGGCGCCGAGGGCTCGAGCCTGCCTGTCACCCTCTCCTCACCGTGTCCAGCCCGGGTCTTCCCCGCAGGTTGAAGCTGCGGTAGAGCGTCCCGCAGCTGGGACCAGGACCCCATCTCGGGCGACGTCGGCCCCCTCCCATCTTTGTCCCAGGCTGGGGGGTAGAGAGGGTCAGGCTGCCAAGGGAAGGCTCCTCCGTCGCAGTACCTCTCATTGGCCTCTTCCCCCCCAACCCCCCCACCCCGCAGTATGAGTGCAAGTTGAGCAGCCTGAAGAAGCCACCTACCCTTCAGCCCAGCAAAGAAGCCTGGTGAGTTCAGTGCCCGGTCCTCGTGCCTTCCCTCCGCCTCCCATTAGCCCTGTGGTTTGGGCAGTGCCACTTCCCTGAAGACCCTCAGCTTCCCCCTCTAGAAAGCGGGGTGGGAATAGTAGTGATAATAGGGTGATGGGTGAGGATTCAGTGAGGCCGTGTTAGGAGCACTCATGAGACAGCTCGGCTGCTGGCTTCAAGAGGGAGGGATTTGGCATGGCTTGGTCACCTCTGCACCCCCAGCATCTCAAACAGGCCTGGGGCAGGCAGTGCTTCGTATCAGGGGATGGGCGATGAGCATTTGGGCGGGTGGAAGGACGAATGGGGGCCTGGGTGAGTAGATGGACGGATGGTAATGAGACGGGTGCGTGGCTGGTCCGATGTTTGGGTGGATGGGCGGCTTGCCTGCGGTCTGTCCCTCTCTTCTGCCCTCCTTCCACCGGGAGTGTTGGTCGTGTCCTCATACGGTGCCCAGCCCTGTGCTGGATTCTGGAAACACCAGCCAGACCAGGTCCTGCCCCCGTGATGTGTAGGGGCTGCTGGTCTAGAGCACAGGGTACAGCCAAGCATGTCTGGTGGGACATTATGTCTGGTGTATGATGTACATTCGTACATGTTTACGTGCTGGGCTAGAAAACAGCCCATTGAGAGAACAGGATCTTATCAACCAACCAACCAGGGGCCCAACCTCCCTGCCCGCCTCCCCAAGCCTGCTGCTGGGTCAGAGGCAGAGCGGGGACATGCTGACCCCAGGTGGCAGGAGACGGTATTGCATGGAAGCTGAGTCTCAAGCTCTGGCCTCTGACTCCCAGCACTGCCTCTTCCTCGCTGTAGGTGCTTTGGGTCAGGGACTTCACCTTTGTGGACCCCAGTTTCCTCATCTGTAAAATAGGCATAATGATAGCGCCTACTGCCTTTGGTTGTCACCAGAGATGCACTGAGGCAGAACAGGCACATTCAGCACCCATTAACACATACTCCCCCAGCGTTCCTTTCCCTGTCCCGTCGTTTTCTGTCTTGTGGCCTGGGGCTCAGGGTCCAGGATCTGCTGTCTCCTGGCCTCACCACCAGCTCTGTGTGTGTGTGCGTGTGTTTGTGTGTGTGTGGGTGCTGTGTGTGTGTGTGTGTGGGTGTGTGGTATCCTCCCCAACCCCCAGCTTCCTGGAGCATTTGCACAAACATCAGGGCTCCGTCCTGCACCCTGACTACAAGACGGCCTTCCCCTCCTTTGAGGACGCCCTGCATCGCCTCCTGCCCTACCACGTCTACCAGGGTGCCCTCCCCTCCCCCAACGACTACCACAAAGGTGAGGCCTCCCCTGGGACTCTCCCCACCCTGTCCCCGGCGTGTGGAGGCGGGTGGCGAGGACTGAAGAGGGTGCCGAGGAGCAGATGCTAGTGCAACTCTGCACGCGCCCTTGACTGTGGGTCAGGATGCGCCCAGCTCCGTGCGCATCTGCGGGTCCCTAGGTCCCCAACATCTGGGCCTCCGGACCCCTTCTCTTCCTCCACAGTGGACGAGGAGTTTGAGACGGTTTCCACGCAGCTGCTGAAACGCACCCAGGCCATGCTCAATAAATACCGCCTCCTGCTCTTGGAGGAGTCCCGGGTAGGGTGGCCATCACCTTCTTCCCCGGGGGACCCTGCCCTTTCCCCTCACCCCCTCTGGGCAAGAAGGAGGGAGGGGGGCTGGGTGGGATCACAAGGACAGTTTGGAATGTGTCCCATCCATGCCGGTGGCTCGCGTCCCCTCCCCCACCTCACCTCTTCACTTGCCCATCTTCTCTCCCCCCTCAGAGGGTGAGCCCCTCAGCGGAGATGGTAATGATCGACCGAATGTTCATTCAGGAGGAAAAGACCACGCTGGCCTTGGACAAGCAGCTGGCCAAGGAGAAGCCTGGTGAGAGGGGAGAGAGGCGGAGTCCCCCACTCCTACCCGCGTAGTGCCCAGTGCCAGAGCCGCCGAATTAGACTTGGGGCGGGAGCAGGGTGCGTGGCCTTACCTCACCCCACCACTGGGCGGCGCCCGAGTCCCGCCTTCCTGCCGCGTGCTCCCGGCTCTGAAACCACAGAAAGCTGAGCTCACCTTCCTCCTCCTCCATCACCAAGTGTCCATTTCACCTCCCCGATCCTGGCCTGGATGGAGGGAACATTCTGCCACCCCCAGGGGATAGAAAAGCAGGGGAGCAGAGCCAGGGCCGGGGTGCAGCAAGCGAGGTGCCTGGGCTGCAGAAGTGGAGGGGGCGTCCCCTCTCCGGTGCTGACCTGTGCTTGCACACTGGGGGGACTTGGGAATTGGGGAAGGGGTCCTACCTAGCAGTATGTCCTCAGGACTCGATGCGTCAAGGGCTTAGCCCCGGGCCTGGCAGGTAGTAGGCGCTCAGTGTACGCCGGCTCCTCTCAGCTCTGCTCTGCAGGCGCCTCGTGCTTTCCCTAACCCCCTGGGTTTTCTTGGCCCCCTTCTCCTGCAGATGAGTATGTGTCTTCCTCGCGCTCTCTCGGCCTCCCCCTCGCCGCCTCTTCCGAGGGACACCGGCTCCCCAGCCACGGCCCATCACCGTCCTCAGCGTCTGGGGCCCCGACCCAACCCCCTCTGCACCTGCCCACCAAGCTGGTGATCCGGCACGGTGGGGCGGGCGGCTCCCCTTCCGTGAGCTGGGCCCGGGCGTCCTCCTCCTCCCTGTCCTCATCTGCCTTGTCCTCCGCTGCCTCCTCCCTGGACGCCGACGAGGACGGCCCGATGCCTTCCCGTAACCGCCCGCCCATCAAGACCTATGAGGCCCGGAGCCGCATTGGCCTCAAGCTCAAGATCAAACAGGAAGCCGGACTCAGCAAGGTCGTCCACAACACAGCCCTGGACCCGGTGCACCAGACCCCGCCGCCACCCCCCGCCGCCCTCAAGGCGGCCGAGCCCCCGCCCCGGCCCCCGCCGCCGCCCCCCGCCACCGGCCAGATGAACGGCACAGTGGACCACCCGCCGCCGCCGGCCGCTGCCGACCGCAAGCCACCGGCGCCGGCCCCCCACTGCCCCCGCCTGCCCCTCCGCAAGACCTACCGCGAGAACGTGGAGGCCTCGGGCGGCGGGGCGGCCGAGGGCGCGGCAGCGGGCAGAGCCCGGGGTGGCAGCCCGGCCCCGCTGCCCACCAAAGTGGACGAGGCCACCAGCGGGCTCATCCGCGAGCTGGCGGCGGTGGAGGACGAGCTGTACCAGCGCATGCTGAAGGGCGCCCCGGCCGAACCCGCGGCCGGCGCCGGGCAGGGCAGCGGCAGCCGGGAGCCCGGCTGGGAGGCGCCCCCGCTGCCCCCGGCCAAGCGGCGCAAGTCCGAGTCGCCCGACGTGGACCAGGCCAGCTTCTCCAGCGACAGCCCGCAGGACGACACGCTCACGGAACACCTCCAGAGCGCCATCGACAGCATCCTGAACCTCCAACAGGCCCCCGGCCGGACGCCCGCTCCCCCGTACCCACACGCCGCCCCGGCGGCGGTCACGCCTGCCTCCCCGACGCCCCTGCACAGGCCGGAGGCCTACCCGCCCTCCAGTCACAACGGTGGCCTCGGCGCCAGGACGTTGAACAGATAACACCGGGCTGGTCTTCCCTTCCCTGTCCCCTCGCTCCGCAGGGACGCCGCGGGGAGGGGGGAGGGGGGCAGCCGGGCGTCCGACCTCAGCCTCCTGGGGGACACGAGCCGGGGACCCCTTGAGTTTTTCTTGCCTAAGTTATTTGAGTCACAAAGGCCTCGCCCCCCACCTCCTGCTTCAGCCGGGTTGGTGGGTGGGGGTCGTGGATTAAGGGGAGGGGCTGTAATGTAAACTGTCCCCCTGCCAAAGGAGGGGGTAATCCTGGTGTGTCATTTCCTATTTCTTCCCATTTCCTGCACACTCCGCCCCCCCCACCGGGGGACACGTGCGCTTTTGCCAGGGATGAGGGCTTCCTGGCTGTCCCCACTGCTCACGCGTCTCCGGGTACCGGGCCTGTCCGTGTGGCTTCACGGATCCCTGCGTGGAGGGCGCTCAGAGCCGGCAGGTCCTTGCGAGCTGCGCTCAGCCTCTCCCCACCGCCCCCCACAGGCCGAGAAAGGAAACGCACGGGAGGGGCGGCGTGAGCCTGCATGCCGGGACCCCCAGCTGGGAGCGCTGCGCCCGCGGGCAGCTGTGTCCCATCCATGTGTGCGCGTCCCGCTCCGTGTCCTATGTCCCTCTGTGTGCGCTCGAATGAGAACGAGAGATTGCGAAGCCTCCAGTCCCTCGACTGAAATCCGAGCACCTCCAAAACAGGAAACCGGGGTCTTCCTCCCACCCCCTCCCCAGCCAGTCTTCCCTCTGTTCTTCCTGCCGCCAGCCACCCACGCCAGATTTCGAAATCTTGGAGACAAAACTAGTACTGTAAGATAAATTTTTTTGTACTGTATTTATTGTGTATAACGATTTTTTTAAAGGAGAATTCTGTACATTTAGAACTCTTGTAAATTAAAAATCGATCCTTTTTTCTAAAACTGTACTGACGCCCCCCCCCCCCGGCCCCCTTTGCTTTCGGGTCTCTGGTGACTTGTTTGGAGTCCGGGGGTAGGGGCGACAGGTGGGTGGAGAGGGGGATTGCGAGGGCTTAGTCCACATACGCATGTGAGCCCCTACTGGGCGCCAGGCCCTGTTCCAGGCACAGGGGTGCAGCTGAACAAGACAAGTGCCTGTCCTGGGAGGGCCAGCTTGGTGGTGGAGAAGGCAGACAGTGAAAAAGTTCAACCAAACGCAGGCGATTCGTATCATTCCTGCTAAGGTTCTGTGGTCTCTGGGAACACGGAATTAGCAAATACTGAACCATCGCTCCTGGGGGGAAATACAGGGTTAGCTTCCTGCCAGCCTCTGGTCACGTTTTTGTCAAGCCGTCAAGACATCGCCTTGTTTTATGTGTGTTTCTGTTTAAAGACACCTCACTTAACGTATAGTGCTGATTCGTTAACGTTGAACTCACGGCCAACGATACTAGAACTCGTGCCTGAGTGAAACTTCTCTAACCCGTGTTTTCTCCGTGAGGCACATCCCAGCCTTCTTGTGCTTAAGCACTTGAGACAGCACAAAGCACTACACCTGGGGGCCACTTAAAACAGAGAAATCAGGACTTCCCTGGTGGCGCAGTGGTTAAGAATCCACCTGTCAATGCAGGGCACACGGTTCGGTAAGATCCCACGTGCCGCGGAGCGACTAAGCCCATGCGCCACAACTACTGAGCCTGCGCTCTAGAGCCCGTGCTCCGCAACAAGAGAAGCCATGGCAATAAGCCCGCGCACTGCAAGGAAGAGTAGCCCCGGCTCGCCACAGCTAGAGAGAGCCCGCGCGCAGCAAGGAAGACCCAACACAGCCAAAAATTAAGTTTAAATATATATATATGAAAAATAAAACAGTGAAATCAACAAAAGCACAAAAAATGTGAGACACGTGGCACTAAATAGACCCCCCAAAAGGATACTTCATTTCCAGTACAAGGGCGCCGCCTTAGCGACTCAACGTTTTTGCCACTCTGCGCGTGTCCATGGAAGTGCTGCGAGTTTGTGGCATCACAGACGTTTTAACACGTGGACTCATTCACAAATAGGGCACTGCTCACAGCGAGGACTGACCGTAAACGTGTACAGTGTCCGAGATGTGGGGAAAAATCAAGCAGGGTGTGTTAGTTTCCCATGGCTGGCAACAAAGTACCACCAATTGGGTGGGTGGCTGAAAAGAAAGAAATTTATTCTCTCAGTTCTGGAGGCTAGAAGTCTCAAATCAAAGTGTGAGCAGGGCCACAGTCCCTCTAGAGACTCTAGGGGAGGATCGATCCTTCCTTACCTTTTCCAGTCTCTGGCCCTCCCAGGTGTTCCTTGGTTGGTGTCCGCACCACTCCAGTCTCTCCTTCCAAGCCATCTTCCCTGTACCTCAGTGTGTCTTATAAGGACGCCAGTCATATTGGATTAGAGCCTATCCTACTCCAGTATGAGCTCATTTTAACTTGATTCCATCTGCAACGACCCTATTTCCAAATAAGATCACATTCACACCTGATTCACTAGGGGTTAGGACATTGACGTATCTTTTGGGAAGCCACAACTCAATCCATGGCACAGAGTGAAGGAGTGGACAAAGCAGCTGCTATCCCCTAGAACCCCTTTGTGTGAACTAGAAAACAGCACCCGTTTCTCCTAGAGTTTGGAGAGCAGCATGTGACCTGGAGTCCAGCCCCCTTCATGCAAGCGAGTGCTTTGTGTAGTGACCAACCTGCCCAACTGCACGTGACGGCCCTCAGGATCAGGTGGGAGCAGAAGGCTTCTTTGAGGAGGTGACATTTGAGCAGAGAGCTGCATGAAATAAGGGAGGGAACCACGGGGAGATCTAGGGATGGAGCACCCAAGGCAGTGAGAACAGGCAGTGCAAAGGCTCTGAAGCAGGAGCGTGGGTGGAATGTTAAACAACGAGGAGGCCCTGTGACTGGAACCTAGGGAAGAAGGGGGTGCAGACAAGAGGTAAGGTCCGAGAGAACAAACGGGGCCTATCCTGAAGGATCTTGAGCCCCACGGTGATGACAGCTTTGACCGTGAGTGAGGCGGGAGCCCCAGGAGGGTTCCGAGCAGAGAGCTGAGCTGTTTTAGGTTTCCCAGGCGCCCTCTGGCGGCCTTGTGGGGAACCCACATGGCGAGGCGGCGACTGCCATAGCCAGTGGGAGTGACGGCGGCTGAACTAGGATGATGCTCCCCGTTCCTCTTCAGGCCCCTGGGGGTGTTTGAGGGGGAGGAGCATATACATGGGATCTCCAGGAGAGGGACCGCCCCGCTTCCTAGCTCTAGACCTACTTCCCCTGCGTACGTAATAAAGCACTGAAGGAGAATGGCGGTTCTTAACATCCTCTAATCCCCTGCAAGCTCCCGGAAGACCCCACGTGGCCTGGCCGCGTAAAGAAGTTTGCCAGTGATTTCCACCTGCTCGCGGCCTCAGTTCTGAAAGGCTGGCTGCATGCAGCCCGAGCAGAGGAACACGATGACTAACGTTTTCAGAACACTTACCAAGGCACTGCTCCGAGCCCTTCACCTGGGGTATCTCACAGAAGCCCCCGTGTGGGAATTGATAGTCCCACCTCGCAGGTGAGGAAACCGAGGCCCCGAAGGATGCAGTAAGTGTCAGACTGGGCTGCAAGCCCGGCGGTCTGGCTGGGAGCCTGCGACCTTCCCCTATGCACACCCAGCTTGGGGGGAGGGGTGTATATAACAGCAAGCCTTGGCCCGCTGTGCAGGAGCCAGAGACGCTCCCCCTCCCGGGCCCCTGGGCAGGAGACCAAAACTGATCTCAACTCCTACGGTTAGTCCTTGGGACCAAACTTCTTTTTTCCATGTGGACCATTTTTAAAGTCTTTATTGAATTTGTTACAATATTGCTTCTGTTTTATGTTTCGGTTTTTTGGCCGCAAGGCAATGTGGGATCTTAGCTCCCCCATCAGGGATCCGGCCCGCACCCTTTACACTGGAAGGCGAAGTCTTAACCACTGGACCCAGGGAAGTCCTGGGACCAAACTTCTTAGATACTTGCTCTTAGACGCTAGGAGCAGCAGAGTGGGCATCTGGGGGGTCCCTTTTCTACAGCTGAGCCATCTGGAGAAAGAGGCCAGGAATGGCTACCTCAGGGCCCAGATCACCTGGACACAGAGCAGGATTGGAACCCAAGATTGACAGTGTCCGAACTACAAGCTCACTGGCTGTCTTCTTCATCTTTTTTTTTATTATTTATTTATATTTATTTATTTATGTTGGGCTGCGTTGGGTCTTCATTGCTGCTTGCGGGATTTCTCTAGTTGCGGTGAGCAGGGGCTACTCTTCGTTGAGGAGCACAGGCTCTAGGCGCGCGGGCTTCAGTAGTTGTGGTGCATGGGCTTCAGTAGTTGTGACGTGCGGGCTTCAGTAGTTGTGGCTCACGGGCGCTAGAGTACAGCAGGCTCAGTAGTTGTGGCACAGGGGCTGAGTTGCTCTGTGGCATGTGGGATCTTCCCGGACCAGGGCTCGAACCCGTGTCCCCTGCATTGGCAGGTGGATTCTTAACTACCGCTTCACCAGGGAAGTCCCTGAAGGCGTATTCCTAACCACTGTGCCACCAGGGAAGTCCCATCAGTATATTTTGAAAAATCCACAAGTCTGGTACTTTCCTGGCGGTCCAGTGGTTAAGACTCCACGCTTCCACTGCAGGGGGCCCCGGTTCGATCCCTGTTTGGGGGACTAAGATCCCACATGCCGCACGGCCAAATAAAAAAAATTTTTGTTTTTTAATCCACAAGTTTGTGACATGGTAATAGGGGCTGGTGTATCAGCTCACGATTAGCTGTGGGTCTAATCAGCGATGAGTGAACAATCCCTAGAAATTCCAAAACAACCGAAGTGTGAGAACATCCGCGATTCCTCTTGCTGACAGTCTAAAATCCCTGCTCTCATGGAGCTCATGTTCTCGTGAGGGAGATCGTCGCTGAAGCAGAGAAATGTGAAATATGTAGAGTGGTGATAAAGACAGCAGAGAAGAATAAAGCAGCGATAATGGATAAATCGTGGGAGATCAGGGAGGGCTTCTCAGAGGAGGTGACATTTGGGTGGAGACCTGAAGGAGGGGAGGGAGGGAGCCGCTTGGATCCCTGGGGGAGACAGCATTCCCGATGGAGGAACAAGAAGTGCAAAGGCCCTGAAGTTGGATGGTTGTATGAGGAACAGCGAAGAGGCCAGTGTGGCTGGAGCTGAGTGAGCAAAGGGGAGAGAGAAGGAGGTGAGGGCAAAGGGAGCCCGCAGATCGTTCAGGGTCTTGTGGGCCACTCTGAGGGCTTTGGCTTCTACTTGCAGTGAGAGAAGAACCAAGGAGTGTTGTGAGCAGAGGAGTTTCATGAACTCGTTTAAGTTTTAAAGTTATTATTACTGATAATAAATTATTGTTAGTATTGGTGTTATTGTTTTATTATTACTATTCCCATGTTAGGAAGGGAGACAGGGATGGAGTTTGAACCCGGGACCGGGAGCCCGCGCACTCACCCATCTCGCAAAGGCGCCCTGCCACTCCCCACCGGGGGGCGCCAGAGGCCCGGCGCCCGGTTTCGTGGGGGGTGCGGGGGGGTGCGGGGGCGCCTTGTCCCGCCCCTCCCGTCCCTCCTCCCTGCTCTCGGCCCCACCCGGCTCAGACGGCTCCGGACTGGACCGCGAGCACAGGCCGATCCGCGGGCGCCTTGAATCCCCGCGGGACCCCCGCCCAGCTCGTCCGCCCGGTCCAGCCGCCTGCGCGCCCCATCGGTGAGTGGTCCCCGACCGCAGATGTCGCCTCCCAGCCTCCGCCCGCGGAGCCCCCGAGTCTGCCTTGGCTCTGAGTTATTTCCCTGCTCGCCAAAGACCCTCAGTCCCCACCCCAGTCACTGTGTAACGGTCTCCCGGGTCTCCCCACTCCCTTCCGAAACCTCCCTGTCTCCCCCACTCCCACCAGCCCCTTCCAGTCTTAACAGTGTCCCCC